AAATGAACATCAAAACTGAGACTTCATGACAAAGTAACACTCACCGACAAGCCACAGCCGCAAATACTGAGCACAGCAATACTCATCCAATGGTGGCCGCAACCCGCAACGGCGTCTCCAACGTGCGGCGGTGTTGAGGAAGCCAACTCGGAGCGTAATAAGCGTATCAAAACCCCAGTGCCATCACTTTGCTGGCCAGAGCCAATAGCCTTAGCCACCGTAACAGCCCTGAGAGGTTCCCTTCTCTTAACAACATTCATACCTAAATCCACCACCTCCTCATTGTCCCGAGGCCTCAGCTCAACCACCACGGTGTCCTGCGGCATCGGCAGAGCCACCATAAGCTGCGACTGCAGTTTCAGAGCAACCTGATCCTCGTCCTCCGACGCCGACCAATCCAATTCAATCCGAAACCCGAGGTCCTGATCCTGTGCGAGGATCGAGGAAGAGGAGGAGGAAGAAGACGATGACGAAGAAGACGACGAACGGGAGGATGTTGAGGTGCGGTCGAGATTCTCCGGCGGATCGTCGGTGCCATAGCTGAGTGTGAGGTGGAAGATCTCGGAGGGTCTCTTCCAGCCCAATCCCCAAGACATTGTCAATTTGCGATCGAGATTCAGTTACGCCATCGGAATTGACCTCTAGGTTGTTGCATTTGGATCCGAATCCGAATACGAATTCGATCGTTGCAAGATGCTGAATGATAATTGATGGTTCAAAAACTCAAGAATCTCGTAATGCAGATCCCAGACAGTGAGACTGATGCACGAAACAGAAATGTGCTCGAGTTTTGCACACATGAAAAAGGAGAGAACGAACCAAAGCAGTTGGTGTTGTCACCCATCAACGTATCCCATAAATTTAACATTCAGTGATGTTCGGTATTTTATTATTTTAACCATGATTTTCGATAAACTAACCAACTTGCAAAGTTTTGAACTCAGGGTTGTTGTATTTTAATTAATTCGGATTAGGTTTGTTATTATTTTTTAAGTACATTTAAAGGAAGAAAGCCATTCCCGGCTATCGCGCAAAAGTGCAAACATTGGTACAAATACAAAACTGGAAATAAACCTGATAGTTTATTTAGAGCCGACGATAGTTTATTTACAACCAATTTGCGGGAAAAATTATACTTAATATTAATACCATTTTAGGTTTAACATTCTTACAACCCGTTTGATTATTATTTGATCAATTTGAAATAAAAGGTAATTATTTTTTTTCCTTTTTTCTACTATTAATTTCAATTGATCCAACGATAATTAAAATAATTATAAAAATAGTAAATCTAAAATGATGATAAATAAATATAACCGATCCCATTAAATTTTGCAAACTTCGATTTTGTTAAAATTTATGTGTTTAAACTTGATTTTGTTAAAAAAATGAGTTTATGGATAGTGATTTTTATTTAAAAAGTAATTATGATAAAAATAATATTATTTATTCTTTAATTTTGATGTAATATTAATATAAAATATTATATACTTTTATTCAATAATACATTTTCACATCACTTAATAAATTTCGCAACACGAGGTTGATTCATTCACATTATTATTTTTTTCTTTATTGAATAAGTTCAGCAATTATAAATACGAATACGAAAGTTGTCGTCGCATTGACGGGGAAGCGAAGACTTTGACCAACCTTATGTAATCTTCCGCTAATGACGGGGAAAGTTGTCGTCGTATGATTAGTCACAATTCTCTCCGTGAGGTTTTGCACGTTTGCTTGTGTTCATTGCTACGAAATTACGAATTATATATTCTCACACTTAAAACATTATTAACATGTAATGAGTTATAAATTTAACTTTGATACACAGCCAGTTATTCTTTCATCCAATAATGTGTTCTCATATTGATTTGGACCCTTCTAAACGTGAGATTGAAGCTCAGCCCAAGAAAGACCCAAAATTATTGCTTAACTCAAAAGTAAACACGTTCATCCCACAACTGGACATCTCGCATTATTATCTGTGACATAGCCTGGCAAGCAACCACTAGGCTACCACTCCTTGCCAATGAGGCTGGAAACCGCCATATAAAAGGCGGGCATAAACGGATACACCCTTCTACTATAAATACCATAGCATTTTGCCTCAATCATCTTTCTCTCATGACTGAAGCTAGTAAAAACACAAAACCATGGTGAACCACTGGTTCCTTGATTCTCGTTCACTCCAATCTAATCAATTGAATAGCCTCCTTGTCATCTCGCATTTATCCTTCTCATCTCGCTAAACACCCTTTTGTCCCATTTTCTCCGCCAACATCAGGTTCAACCGTATATCATTTAATGAGTGAGATCTTATCTGTTATTGAAGTTATTAAATAATGTGACAATACATTGTTAGACACACAATTTTATCAAAATTAAGCTCATATTATTAACTACTATCACAAGCTTTTGTTAAAAGGATGTAAGTTCTTCACATTGAATCTTGTATATAGTACATACTATAAACCTCACATAATTAAATGCAAAATTAATAGTAGATATAATTAATTCCTAAGGGTGTGTTTGGTACAGGAGAAATTTTTTGGTGATCGGGAATCATGATTAATGGGAATTCAGTAGAAATTGAGTTTACTTGGAATCTTACGAAAGATGTGTTTGGTTCGCCAAAATATTACCGGGAATACTGGGTAAAAATTACTGATTCCATATTTGGTTTAGAACGAAATATGACTTGGAATATGAGGTTATTTTACAAAAATAACCCCAAACTATTTTTACTTTTGTAATTGATAGATTGGGTCTAGATTTTTATGTGTATTGGGGTATTTTTGTCTCAAAATTTATTGTTGCGCTTTCCCTTTACTTGGTATTCTGATTGGTATTCCGAATTACCATATTATTTTTGGTAATCTGAATAGTGACTTTTCTTTATAAATCAAATTACCGGTAATCCTTGGATATCCGGGAATCGTAATTTATTCCTTCTACCAAACGTGGTAATTACATTTACCAAAGAAGGATTACCGGTAATCCTCTCCAAAAACTTGAACCAAACACCCTCTAAGTGTCATGATTAAAGATGGCGGTTGTTGGACAGTTCCGCCTTAGGGTGAAAATTCACCGGATAAATAATTAGGGGTTTGCAAAATAACTGAACGGAACGGGTTACTGCTCCCGTGTTATTATCAATATGCTACTGCATAGGCATGCTTTCGCCCACTTAAATGCAATCTAAATTTTTGTTGTTGTATTGTATGGCCTAATGAACACGAGACTTTTCAGTGTTCTTTGTCCTCGCTCGCACACTTTCTGGGAAAACTTCTCAGGAAGTCACCCATCCCAGAATTGCTCCAAGTCAAGCACACTTAACTGTGGAGTTCTTCCGATCCGGGCTACCGAAAAGTAGATGCATCTTGTTAGTATAGGTAGTACCAATTAATTCTTATAAACTATTCCTAACTGTACCGTCCCATACCAGCACAGTCTCTGAAATCCCTCTCTTTCGGGTGTTGATTCGATTCATTCATGAACCCCCAAGCTGCAAGATTTGGCATGAGCCGCTCATTGTTCATGCCCTTTCGCACCGGCGATCACTCCCTACCCTTGCCAGCTCTTGGGATGTTACATGCCCACCAGCTTCCGCCTGGTTCGTCCTCGAACCACACCGTACTAGAAGAGAGGCCCTGCTCTGATACCACTTGTAACGTCCGGCCACTTGCAAGGATTAACGACTGTCCCCACACACTAACACGAGACTTTTCAGTGTGCTTTGTCCTTTGTAACGTAACTCGCAAAGTGCTCGCAAAACTGTTCCAAAATCAGCATGTAACAAAACGTCAAAATTTAATTTCGCAAAACGTTTCTAAAATTTATTTCCAAGTACTTGCTGATCCTAAAAGTCTTAAAACAATAGTAAAATCATAGCTCAACAGTAATACAACTTCTCAAATTAATACAATCATCCCTCAAATAAACAACAGCAGCAAAAGTCCAAACAACAGCACATAATAGCAAATATCCATATAATCATGTCTTCATATGCTCTTCCGTCCTCCTGCCATTTTATAAAAATAACAGCCCCAAAGGGGTGAGAAAAATCCCAGTAGTGTGGCAATAAAACCAATACAGCAACAATATTAGACTAGGTACAAAATTCCAAAACAGTTGCATCAACATTTAATTTTCCGAACAGATGCTAATATATAATCAGAGTGCGTTATAACATGTTGGCAGTTGTATTATTGTAAGTTCTCTGTTTCCGAACATTTCCTGAAAGTAGACGACAAGTTTTAAATCTTAATGCAGGCATATCTCGTCGTCGTTGAATCAGTCTGATTCGCCACATCGCGTATAACGGGAATCGAACCCCCTCTGCTGCGAGTTCTCATCTTTCCTAAGCTGGTTTAACAGCTTAAAAAGCCTCGCCCTAAATGGAATGGCTCTCTTAGTTACACTGCGCCCCGGTTTAAGTCCCCTTCCCCCGCTTCTTGAAGGAATTGGGCTTGGGCCCAGAGTTGTTGCTGGAGGGAATTCAGAACTTCTGCAAGGGCCTGCCTTCGAGCAGCAAGCCGGGCCTCCGTTTGCAAAAAAGGTCCAATTAGTGTAACACTCTCGCTTGTATGCATCCAAGAGAGTTGTTTGCTAAGCGGAATTCGAGTTCTTTCGTCATATTTTAAATATTGGAAAATCATTTTGATGTTGCTAATTAAAATTTATAATTGAGATTAGATTACTTACAAAAATCAGAGTATACTTTCAAAATTTCTTAAGTTGCTGAAAATATAATTTTCCTGGCAGACCTTGCTGTCTTTAAAAATTCGTATAAAATCAAGTTTTCAAAACTCTTTTGTAACATTTATATAATCAAAAACTAGACACGCGGGGCTTCGCGTGCATATAAAATAGTAGTAAATCGGAGGTCGTTTGACCTTTGTAACGTAACTCGCAAAGTGCTCGCAAAACTGTTTCAAAATCAGCATGTAACAAAACGTCAAGATTTATTTTCGCAAAACGTTTCTAAAATTTATTTCCAAGTACTTGCTGATCCTAAAAGTCTTAAAACAGTAATAAAATCATAGTTCAACAGTAATACTACTTCTCAAATTAATACAATCATCCCTCAAATAAACAGCAACAACAAAAGTCCAAACAGTAGCACATAATAGCAAATATCCATATAATCATGTCTTCATATGCTCTTCCGTCCTCCTGTCATTTTGTAAAAATAGCAGCCCCAAAGGGGTGAGAAAAATCCCAGTAGTGTGGCAATAAAACCAATACAGCAACAATATTAGACTAGGTACAAAATTCCAAAACAGTCGCATCAACATTTAATTTTCCGAACAAATGCTAATATATAATCAGAGTGCGTTATAACGCCAAAGTACTAATCAGATTGCGTATATAACGCCAGAATACTAATCAAGATGCGTATATAACGCCAAAGAGTACGTTCATAGCACCGTCGTGCACGTACTAACAAGAACAGTGGAGGTCCCTCCCTTAATGGCTCCTCAGAGGGTTCCAACTGCAACCTATGCAGACTGAAGCCAAGTGTCCCATACCCTGGTACCGTAGGGATGCCTATATGATGCGTGCTCAATCACATGTGTATATATATATATATATAAATGCTTCAGTTTCTAAATGGATAATCAATGCTGTATGCCATGCTATGCTTTCACACCCAAAGCAGAAAAATAAATGCGGTATGATGTAATTGTGCATGACTAAATCATATTCATATAGCATATATCTCTTGCCCATATAATACCAAGCTGCCGAATAACAAACACTTCCATAGGCAGAATTTTCCATCAAGACAAGTCCAAGGGCAGATTCCATATATCATATAACATATAGCAGAATACTAATCATAAGGCACATGTGAGCATCAGTTCAAAATTCCATACACTAGCTAATAGTCACAGTAGGTCTCACTACCAAACACATACCTCGGGTCTTTAACATTTTATTTTATCAAAGCATCACCAATCAACCCACACTTTTAGAAGTTAGCACACCTAAACATTGGGTACCAACAATCAGAATTCGCATCTACTATTCCAATAAAATGCATGTACTTTCCGTGCTTTCAATACAAGACTTCTAACCAATTTACCATGCATACATGTTATTTAATTTTCTGTTTTAACTTTAGTTTTGCCAAAGATTAACAATTAACACTAATATAAATCCCTAAGCATTTAATTTGGTTGTCTTCACCATTAATTAGGTGCTACCAATTTTCCTTTACATAGCCTTGATTCTCTATGCCTGTGGTTTCGATTTCTTGTCCATTAACAAGGCTTCCAATCTTTATATTTTGATCAATTATCATGCTTCTAATGTTAATAGTTTTCTACCTTGAATTTTATCCTTCCAATTGATAGAATTTAACAAAATCCCATAGTTCCCATGAACACAGATTCGGTTTCAAGTCCATCATCTAAAGTCCTATATTATTTATTTTATTTCTTTTTTCTTTTTCTAGCAAAACAGTGCCTTTGTCACTTAGGTGTGATCTAGTTAGTTTTCAGCATGCTATCTATACACTTCTAAACACATGCAAAGCTTAAGTAATTTTCTAATTCAAGGTGCAGTTCAACGATTTAATGGGAGCTATTTTTCAAGCTCCTAGACCAGAATTTTTTTGTGTTTACAGTCATTAATTCCCAAGGCAGTCCAAGGCAGAAAACAGGGAATAAAGTAGCAACATGATTCTCTGAATTTAAGTGCAGCAGCCGAAAGAGCAATCAGGAAGGAATGACAAAAGAGACTTGACAAAATACATCTTCTTATAAAATTCCTACAACCGAACAGATAGGATTACAGTAGGCTTAGGTTTGGTTTGTACCTCCTTGCCCGCAACAAAGTCCTTTCAAGTTGGTTTCAGAAAACAGCCAGCATAACCATGGGAAGCACCCTCGCCTCTCCCCATACAAAGAATTAGAACAGAAACATAATGGGAACAGTTCTTAATTTCCATGCGCTAAAATCAGAAACAAGGAAGATAGAAGATGCTCACTTGCGCTTAAATGTTATGAAAACGTGATTTGACTCAAGCATAAGGCTCTTCCTCGCAAGAAATTGGGTATACAGCTTTAAGGATGTATGTCTGCGGCCATACATGGAAGAAGAGGAGATGCACTGCCTCTACCGTTGCTGCGCTAGGTTGAATCAATGAAGAAGAGAAAGAGAGAGGAAGATATAATTTAGCGTATAAGGGCCTTGAAATTAACTTGATATACTTGGAAAATAACCCACCTATATTACTAGACTGTTTGTTGTATTAGAAAAGAAATTATTACACTTATGCATGTTAAAATTTAGAGGACAGCATCTGTAGAGTTTGTTACATACTACATAAGTCACGCAAGTAATAGTATTCAAATGAATATTGGGGTCTTTAATTGATGGTCCTAAAAACCGAGTGTGTGTGAATTAAACCTGGAATTTTATGGTTGTTGACAAGTTAGAATAAGGAATTGAAGTCAGAAAAAGTAAGGAGTAAAAGACTCATGGAAATAGTGTAAAGTACGAAGGTTAATAGGCATGTCTAGAGTTTGTAAAAATTATATGAATCAACGTTGGAATTTTATGGTTGTTGACAAGTTAGAATAAGGAATTGAAGTCAGAAAAAGTAAGGAGTAAAAGACTCATGGAAATAGTGTAAAATACGAAGGTTAATAGGCATGTCTAGAGTTTGTAAAAATTATATGAATCAACGTTAAAATTCTGCTTGGTTTCTCTTGCTTGATTAGGTGCACATAACCGTTGAATGTGGGCTGAGTTGCTACTGTCTAATTTATATTTGGACACGCGAGGTATGTGTTTGGTAGTGAGACCTACTGTGACTATTAGCTAGTGTATGAAATTTTGAACTGATGCTCACATGTGCCTTATGATTAGTATTCTGCTATATGTTACATGATATATGGAATCTGCCCTTGGACTTGTCTTGATGGAAAATTCTGCCTATGGAAGTGTTTGTTATTCGGCAGCTTGGTATTATATGGGCAAGAGATATATGCTATATGATTATGATTTAGTCATGCACAATTACATCATACCGCATTTATTTTTCTGCTTTGTGTGTGAAAGCATAGCATGGCATACAGCATTGATTATCCATTTAGAAACAGAAGCATATATATATATATATATATATATATATATATATATATATATATATATACATGTGATTGAGCACGCATCATATAGGCATCCCTACGGTACCAGGGTATGGGACACTTGGCTTCAGTCCGCATAGGTTGCAGTTGGAACCCTCTGAGGAGCCATTAAGGGAGGGACCTCCACTGTGCTTGTTAGTACGTGCACGACGGTGCTATGAACGTACTCTTTGGCGTTATATACGCATCTTGATTAGTATTTTGGCGTTATATACGCAATATGGTTAGTACTTTGGCGTTATAACGCACTCTGATTATATATTAGCATCTGTTCGGAAAATTAAATGTTGATGCGACTGTTTTGGAATTTTGTACCTAGTTTAATATTGTTGCTATATTGGTTTTATTGCCACACTACTGGGATTTTTCTCACCCCTTTGGGGCTGCTATTTTTATAAAATGACAGGAGGACGGAAGAGCATATGAAGACATGATTATATGGATATTTGCTATTATGTGCTGCTGTTTGGACTTTTGTTGTTGCTGTTTATTTGAGGGTAGCCCCCTATCTGTAGCGTCAAATCTAAAATTGGCTAATTGCAGTCACTTGATCAACATATATACCTAATGACTTGACCCTCTCCAATTTCACTGCATGGCTCATCACCTGAAACTTCCTAGAAGAATCACTTGAATACCTGATTTATAAGCAATTTTTTCCAAGGACAAATTTCAATCTTCTACGAGGCACGAGCCCCACCAAAGCTTGTTAACTCATTCTTTAATGTAACAGCTATAAGTCGTTTCCAACATTGGAATACCCAGTAAAAGTCATAATGAAATATGATTAAATGCATATACACCTTTGGATGAATTGTACTTACAGTTCCAGATTCTTTGCTGCTGAATTAAAAGTTGTTCTTAAATCCTCCTTTACTAGACTATCTGCAAATATAAAGTCGACAGCATTCTTTGATAGGTCAAACATTTCCTTCCTTCCAAGGCCTAGATAATAGCCAAACCAAGAAGTAGTCAGCAAAGTCTAGCCACTAGTTTAAATTCCACAGGCTGCGAGAGTAAAGTAAAACCTACCAAGTGAAGAAGCAGCAATTTTGTATTCGTTGGAGAGACTGGTAGAGAACACACCTGAGTCGTCGGTACACAGGATCAAAGGATGCTTTGTGTTATACAAATCCACTGCATTAACAAGAGCATGATATTAAGAAAGGCTGCCTGAATTTGATTCCTTGGTCAAAGTCTAGTATACAGCTGTATGGAATGCCTTCAGAGAGGATCAGCTTAACTTGAAATAATAATAAAAAAAGCAGCAGTACTTTTCTGGTTCCATGAGGCTGTTTTAGGAATGCTAGCTTCAAAGGGGAAAAAGTAATGCTGAAAGCGGGTATTTTGTACTTCTGTTCTTAAGCTAAAACTTCTAACAAATTCTCTCTTTTATTAAACAAAAAAATATCCTTTTTTCAAAAGAAAAACAAAGCTAATCAAAATGCAGAATCACTTTCATGCCTATAAAATCTCTCTGAAGTTGAACAAACAGTGAAGTTCTTTTATTAATTCTATATTTATGATCATCGACTTCGAAAATAAACAAAAGAACCTACCAAAATGATGAGCATCTATGGATGGAACGGACAATGTCCTAATGTTTGATGTCAAACAAATTTCAACCTGAAAATGGTGAAGGTGATATAAATGATAAGTATCTTGGCTGTTTATAAATTGGGAAGAGACTAATATTATATGAAGCATTAAAACTAAGCAACAATCAGAAGCCCAAATGGGATGATCCCTAAAAACAAGAAATCACAGGGTTCCACTTTTTCCAGATCAAATTAAACTTTGAATTCGACAGAAAATTTGTAGAGTATGCATAACCTTTTAATTGATTGATTATCAACAGGGAACATCTGCTTATTGCCACAAAAATCATAATATACTACCATTGTTTTGCTTTATCATCAATGTCATTAAAGGCCTTGCAAAATCTAACCGGAATGTTAGAGGACTTCAGTTTTCTCCAGTGTTCCTCCTCAAAGCAACAAGCATGTCCAATCCTGTGGGGAAGAAAGTCGAGCATATCATGTATCTCCTTTGAATTAGGCACCTAAAAACAATAAGTTAGAAAAAAAACCAACCAGGGAAAAACCATTAGTAACAGGTACTGGAAAAGATTAACGCACCTCTCCACAGTGAAGAGTTATATAAAGACCTTGTTCTTGAGCAAATTTCAATGCTGGCAAATATGTTATCCTGCAGAACATAAAATGAGATTTTGGGCTTAAGCATCAATTTTTTAAATTTTTAAAAAATTATTACATTAGATTCCTAGTTGGAGTTTATGTACCATTCACCAACAGCCGGATTCCCAGAGAGATCAATTCCAACAACGCCAAGATACCTCATTTCCAGAGCAAGCATGACCTGCAAGAAAGAAGCAGAGTGTTCAAAGGCAGTAACAGACTTAAGTTTTCCCTGATTACTTGTGCATTATAGCTTACAGTTTCCATTGCCGCTTCTGTTGTCTCCCTACGGTCAATGCTCAAGAGAAGCCTAACAAAGATTTTTTTTCTAGAATTTCCATTACATTTATCATTGGCCAAGAGTACAGGTTTTGAGTGACTCCCAGTCCTAGACTCCTCACTGCAAGGAATGAAAGCCACATCAACATTACTGACAGCTCTTAGACCTTTCAATACAGCTTCAATGTAAGAGCGTTTGCTCATTCCTAGGGAATCATTTTTCTGCATGGGATTAAGCAAACATTTTCTTCATCAAATCAATGAAAACAAGAACACATAAAATTACCAACTAAGCTCATTTAATTACCTTTGGAGTAGTTCTCAACTCCAGATACACAACATTCTCTGACGCAAAATCTTCAACAACCTGCGTTTAGAAGTTGCTTGCATAATTGCCAAGGCAATAAAATTGGAATAATAAAATACAGATAGTAGACACTAAGAAAGCAGACATACTTCTTTGGTAATTCTTGTAACACTCGTGTGATCAGTGGTAAGAATGTGGATTAGGTCAAACAACTTGAATACCTCAGTCAATGAACGATCATCTGTACTTGCAAAGCCATAACTAATATTAAGCTTTAAAACACAGAAATGGTTCATTAAAAGTGAATTCAGGAAACAAATAAACAGCAAGGGGATTAAGGCTTGCTTGGCAGCAGATTTAAAAATTATGAATTTTAGGAACAGTTCTACCAGGAGTTTCTATATTAATTATGAATTTAAAAGTTGCAGGTATAAAACAACTAAATAATCATGTCATATATTAATCTAAAAGCAAATTCAAAAACTTAAATGTTGCTGTGTTTCCCCCCTCCCCTTTTATTGTGATGAATTTCCTGCTGTTCTTTGCAAAACGAAATCTAACAGTCCCACATAGCAGAAACTGAAACGGTAAAGGGAACGCATTGAAAGACAAGAAAAAAACATTAGGTAATGGGCATACTTTTAAGGATAACATGTTCCACTTGGGAGAAATCTATGACACCTTTGTCACCCAAAGCTTTAGCAAGTTCTCTGCGGAGGAAAAATATTATAAAATTTCAGAGTGGTGAGAGAATGGGAAAAAGAATAGAGATTAGAATTAGAGGTCATGGGAATTGGATGAAAAGAACTAACAGAAGTGTGGAATCTCTGATGGATCCGTTCAGGTGAGCATGCAGTTCTACCTTTGGCATTGACATCCACCACTCCATCTCCATTCTGCGACTCCTCTCACTGTTAGGAGACTCTGCGCTTATAATATTTTTTATTAAAATGATATAATTTTTTGTACTTTAAAAAGATAAAAAAAAAAATTAATTTAAATGAATGTGTATCATGATTTTTAAGTATTAACTCATTAAACAATTTAAAAACAAATACAAAACTTACTTACACAGTTTGTAAAATATTATCTAATTTTACGCGTAAGTTAAATAACAAAATAGGGATAATTGCAGGTGTGAAAATTAAAAGTGTGCATGATAATGTTTCTAAAAATATTACTTTTTAAGTTATGAGTTGAATTCCTATCATTGTATTTAACAAATATATTATTTTTTGCTTTTAATCTATGAAATAGGAATAGTTATAAATGAAATTTGATAAAATCAATTTTTTTATTTATTTAAGAAAATGTAACTTAGCCCTAGAACACAGATTGATAGAAATAATAAATAATTTTCTTTTTCCTTTCGTGTTTTCTCTCACGTTTTTATTAAATACATACGTCATAGAATAGAATGTACTATTATAATTAAATAAATATTATTTATTAAATACGTGTTTTTTAAATTTTATAATCGACTTAAAGAATCAAAATTTATGAGAATATTAAAAAAATTAATCCCATATCAAAACAAAAAAAAAATTAATTCACTTTAAATAAATAGTTAGGATTATATTAACTCAAAAAAAAAAAAAGTTTGGAGATGCTGTACACGGGATTGAACATATGAATGAAAATAATTAAAAAAGTGAAAGAGTAAAAGTGTTATTTTTTAGGATTTATCATTTCTCCTGATAAAATTATTTTTAACAATTTCAAAATTACATTATTTTTAAGGTTGTAAAAATTAATGAATAGTATTTTGATAAATTTTATATAATAAATAAATTTTTTAAAATATTACAATAAAAATATTTTTTTTCCAATTTTTTTATTATATTTAATAAATAATATACTGAGCATTCGGTACAGCATCATAAAAATATGTTCGAACAAGAGATATTGTTGTGTTTTCGTCCTTTATCTTTTGAGAACGGGAAAGAGTAGTTATGCAGACCAATAAATTCCTATCTCAATTCACACACCTACTCTGTCAGTGTTCGTTGCATCTTTATCATCTTCAACCTCTACCATGCCCATCAAGGCAGATACGTACCTGTCCATATTGAATCTATTATCGCTTTTTCTTTTTCTATAAATTATATATATCTTTTATGGAAGATAATCTTACTCAGAATGAGTATAAAATTAAAATTTTAAATTTCTCTCAAAAATAATAATAAAAAAATCAAATACATATTATCATCTTCATTTACTCAGCTCTCGTAAACCAAATTACCGAACTACCATTGTTTGCTATTTTCGCTTTCTTTCTTTTTTTTTGGTAGACTATTTTCGCTTTCTTTAACAACAAATGAATGGGTCGTCCTTAATTTAGCTACGATGCCTAAAGTGTGTAAGAAATTAACTTGATTTTAGATTTATATATGATTGATTATTCTATTCTAATTATATAGATATTTAATGAGAAACATATTAATTTAAGGGATTAATATTTTTTATGTTATAGAATATAAGAGATAATTTTATTTCTTATACATATATAAAAATATATGAAGTCTATATTTTTATGTATTTGTAGAGATAATTTCTACAATATGAGAAATATTAAATTTTTAGTTTAAATATTTATACTTTTTAATAAATATAAAACAACGAAATTTTACTTTCTGAACCAAATCAAATTAATTATTTCTTATCTTTAAACATTATAAACACGATGTAAATGCTTCTTCTTTTTTTTGAATGATCATCTCTTGTGACATAAAATTATTTGGAATAATTTTATTTATTAACATACAAATTAATGGTGATAAAATATATATTAAAATAAATATTAAGAAAAGAATAATTACTAATTTATATTTAAACGACTAACAGGATCAAGGTCCAGTTCACCGATTCTGATCATATAAATTAACAAATGAAATGTCTTCGGCTACATTTCTGAGTCACATGTGCTAACTCGTTGCTACTTGCTAGTATGGGAGCTCATCTTTAATAAAGTAATAGTATGTAATATTGTCATTGAAAATTAAACAATGTTTTTAATATACTGTTTTTTTTTTTCTCTCATCAATCAATATAAGTATTTAATTTTTATTGGAAAGATATATAAAAAAATAGATAAGACAATAGTAACGTAGAAATTTTCAAAATACGAGTGGGTGCCAATACCACAACATTTTAATGATATGCAAATTGAAGACAGCCCTTCATGTTTGACAGCAATTCACTGTTCAAAGTACTACTCCTTTCTGCTAGCAGGTAAGTAATAATATCACCTGCAACTAGGTACCTACCGTTCGAAGTATTTTAACCCTTTTTCTTTTTTTTTTGATAAACAAGTATTTTAATCTTTTCCTGTTAGTAAGAGTGACATCACTGATGATTACATAATTTTTTTTTGGTGAAAATGATTACATAATTTTATTTATATTCTTATGATATTTTTTATTTTTTATATTATAAAAAATAAATTTAATTTCTACGTATACATAAAAAAATATATATGATTTATTTTTTTTTATTTTTTTTCATGATTTCATATGGATCTCATATAATATTTTTTTTATTGACAAAATATTATACTTTTGAAAGTGGTTGGGAATTGAACACAGTCTATGGAAATGAGGTAGTATTATCACTTACCATTACATTACCTCACATATTTTTATATAGATAAAAGATTTTTTCAGTTAATAGAAATAAGTTATTTTCAGTGAGTTCAAAATGATGTCATTTTGGGGCAGAAATCAATGTGTTTTTGTAATTATAATATATTATAGGATTATTTCAGTCTTTAACATTATAATTTTTTAATCTTATAATCCCAAAACGACGTCGTCTTGAGCTCACCGGAGATAACTTTATTTCTAGAGAAATACATTTTTCCTTTTATATATGTAGAAGATAAATTTATCTCATAAAATATTAAACCCAATATAAACCATCAAATCCTACTATATTTGAATAAAATCATCTAGGAGAATTTCTTGGATGCTCTGATTGCATTGAATTTTCAGTGTTTTTTACTTATGATATGATATGATATGTGTCTTATTTTTGCATATTATTAATAAATAATTTATTTTAATATCAAGTGACTAGGTGAGAGAATAATTTTACAAAAAATAAGACATGTCATATATAAGTGGAAGTGGCACTGAAAATTCAATGCAACCGTAACATCGAAAAAATTCTCCTAATTCAGATATATATACTAAATAAACACCAAAGCCATATTTTAAATACTAGCTTACGCAATTATTAGGTTCAATAAATATCATAATAATAAGGTGATCAGAATATAAATATTTTACTAAAAAATGAATAAAGAAATATATTATCATACTAAAATATGAAACAAATCTCAGATATATATATCTGCCTTCATATTATCTCTCGTGTGGTTAAATTTTGTATGCATGTTGCAACATCATAAGAAGGTGCACGGTGAACCTTTTCCTTATTTTTAAAAACTTTTTTCATTAGGTCAAGTTTATTCTTATTTACACTATATTAGTCATATTTGTTGAGACGGGTCCCTCAAATAATTTGTATGGAAGCAATTTATTGCCTATCACAACGAGCTGGTCTTTGCCACACACGTTACCTTCTGGTACAAATTGTTGGGCTTCCTCCTTAAATACTAAGCTCAAGCCTATTTGAGGGATTTTCTAAAAACTCTAACCCTAATTTCCACCTCCTCTGTATATACTCATTAGTTGTGGGTGGAGGCTAGGTCAAATTTGAGAGAACAAATTTGAGAGAATTATTTAATTGTTTCACAAAGCTTTATGCTCTGCATTTGAGAGATCTCTAGAGAGAGTTTGAGTGAAACATCTCTAGGGTAGTTTGATTATCACATTTGTTGAAGAGGTTGAGTTAACCAGTATTTGATTATTTGTAACCATTATTTTCATAGTGGATTTTTGATCTGGACTAGGTCCTGTGGGTTTTTTACTTCTTCATTAAAGAAGGTTTTCTCACGTTAAATCTGGTTGTGTTCTTCTTCTCTCTCTCCTGTTTACGTTTTTTATTTTTCGCTGCGCTGCCCGACCTGGTGAAGTTCAGGCCGAGGTATTGCCGTGATCCGAGATCGAGATCTTGCTAACTGACTTTCGCAAAAGGCCCCTGAGCCGATCTGAGGGAACCGAGTTCCCAACACAAACACAAATTGTCGATCTCAAGACTTCAAGCTTACCTCAGACCAATTCAATCTTACCGATCACCAATTCAGTATTATCAGTATGTCAGCACACAAATGATTTGATCTAAAACGTAGCAGAAATAAGCAAATGTAAAAGATCAGAGATGGAGAGAAAGACATAACAATTGAAAAACCTCTCCTAAGGTAGATGAGTAAAACTCATGAGATACTAGTGTAGAAAATCTTTCGCTATAAAATAGTAGCATTACAAAAAGATCAAATTTCTCTTCTTCTTCTTTTGAAAATATTTCCTTTTTTTTTTAAATTAAGATCAAATTTCTCTAGTTACACTAGAGATATACTCAAATTTTACCAAGAATGGTAGTTATAAAGATCTTCTCTAAAGAGGTCTCCCATGCAAATTGATCTTCGAGGATTCTCACACTTATCCTAAAACTACTTACACAAAGCTATTAGGGTTAGCTAGTGGTGAGGGGTGTGGGTAGTTATGAAATTGGTTGTGTGTTCAATTCTTCAATGTATAAAAAAAAAACTACTTACACAAATATTTTCATCTGCTTATATATTGATAAGGAGAATCCCAATATCTTCTTTTTGAGTCTTCTACAATTATTGTTGTCAAAAACTAATCTAAAAACGTAAAAAAAACACAAGTAAAAATGGTCCTCAGTAAAAATGGGTAGAAACGTCGCGTAAAAGCGTAAAAGTGGTAGAAACGTAAGTTTTTACGTTTTTACTTAAACTCAATATTTTTTATTTTTTTTAAAAAAAATATTTTCATTTTTTTAAACTCAATTTTCTCTTTTTGTGCTTTTAGACTTATGTCTTATGTAATCGTGTGACTTATATATTTTAAATATGAAGTTATTCATTAAATTTTGAGTCGTGACTTATGTGATATATATATATATATATATATATATATATATATATATATATATATAATTTTATATCTTGACCTTAAGTAGTAAATACTTTGTGTTTCGTATCATTTATATGATTTACGTTTCTATCATTCTCATCCGTTTCTACATAGAAACTCGATTTTGACAACAATTTGTCTGCAATAATGAGATGAGTATTGTTTATTGAGGTGATTGTGTTCAAACATTGAGTCATACACTATAAGTAAAGTGAATGCTTAGCCATCAAGTATCAAAGGAGGAATACACCCCAATAATATTGGTCTCTTTTTAATTATTTTTACAAAATTGTTTTATATAACATAAATAATAAAAATATACTAAAAATTAAAATAATTTTACACAGATTATTTGGACTGGAATTACGTTTTGTATTTTTTGTTGAATGAAATGACGAGTTCATTAAGATGGACAAAGGATAGCAACCCAACAGTGTGAAAGTAGAAAATGATAGTCAGTGATACAAGTCGGAAGTCTAATAGGAGAATTAAGAAGCCAACGTGGATGCGGGATTATGAAGCTTAGATCAGTTATGTAGGCTGAATGTACATAATATAAATAAGGGAAAAGTTAAAATAATCTCATGTGTTTGTTTTTGAATCACTTATTTTCTATGCTTTTTGTTACGATGAATGTTATATTTATAAATTTTTTTGTTTATAAATTATATTAAGTATGACCAGTTATACTTTAATCAAGAGTGCATGACCAGTCATACATAGTGTAATTTATAAAAAAAAATTGTAAACGGATTTTTTTTTTATTATTTATTTTCTATGTTTTTTTTTTCATTCAAGTCCCTCCATAATGATATTAGAGTTTCTAACAAATATGATTATTTTACTCTCCTTTATTTATAGATTGTTTGTAATTCATTCCCAATCAGAATTTGATTTGCTTTGTAATCCTTCTTCAACCCCGGTTCCCCTTCTAAACTATGCAATTATATCATAGTCCATATTGAATCTTGTTACCGTCAAACGAATGTAAAGAATGGATGTAAGCTGATTTTATAGTTTGCTGTGGTAGTTGTAATGTCATTTTAGTTAAAATAATGAACATGGTTAAGTAGCAGTCAAATTTTATGATATTGGTCATATCAGCTTAGTTTAGGTCATGCAAATGAGTAAGATAAACAATTAAACATGGATTATGGATTAGATCTTAGTAAAAGAGAAACTGGCCATTCATTTCGAACATAACATAGTTTATGAATGAATGGCCAGTTGAGATCAATATAATTACGATACGCAATTATAACATAACTTACCAGCAAAATATCGTTCAATACATGGCCGGTTAATTTTTGGCTCGAATTGGTTAGATCACCAGTTCATAGAATTTTGAATCAACTTTGCTGATTCGAGTCGGATTTGATAACATTAATATTAAAAAATGGCCAAGTTGATTGGCGCGTCATGCCATCATCATCATTAATTCGGTAATCTTCTGGTCCTGTATGGCTTGATTAATCACGTACAAGATTTTCAAGACTGGAGCCACATTGCATGGTTAATTACGGATTTTACCACGCGTACACAAATATATTGGGAGGAAAACAAATATTTTAAAGTGTTTCAATAACAGTTATTCCTTTATTAAAAAAGAAGACTTATTCCTTTACTTAAAAATAATAAAAAATAATACTCACGATCATAAAAGAGGAATGAGATCAATAATATTAGGTGACTTTTTTTTAGTAAGTGATATATGGAATATTCAGTACTACCGATATTACGGAGCATGGAAATTATTTTACTAAATAAATGCTCTTTACAAAAAAGAGTAGTAAATTTGATGTGTAGAATATAAGTAATCAGCAATTTGGGAAGATGAGAGATCCATGGATGAGTACAGGGCTAATAAAATATACATAAATCAAATCACACCGATATAGCTATAATTTGTACTGCCCAGTGCCCATTTGTATAAGGAAATTTTATCTTCTGAACGGATAGCCAAAAATTAAGGCCTTCCTTTAGATTTTCATGACTATCACACGGAACGCATACACATAAATTTGTATGGTATTGGCAATCAGCTTCACTCGTAAAGACACATTGCAAGTACAACTAGATAGCAAACCAAGCTTCAAAAGTACCGTATATATAAATATTAAATAATGATGCTACTTCATACAGCCTTCCGGTTAATACTTATACCCGCTAATATTATATATTTGATTCTCGAATCAATTCGTTCATTATCAGTAACTAGCACTATAACCAAGGCTAATGATAAACTATATAGTCTTGCTTAAATAGATCTAGGCAGAATAACAGCCTTGAGAGGATTCTTCATAACAACAGTGAAAGCAAAAGTCTCAGTCGGGTCGGGCGGGGCATTTGGAAGGGGCAACCACTGGAAAGCAAGAACCATTTTAGCAAGCAACATGTTAATATGCAAGATACCCAGAGTCCACGCTGGACAAATCCTCCTTCCCACACCAAAGGGCATCATCCTAACCCCTTTTGTTCCTGTCACGTCCACGTCAACCCCATCCCCACTCAGGAACCTCTCGGGTCGGAACTCATTCGGATCCTCCCACATATTCGGATTCTCCGTCAACCACGCAGTGTAAAACTCCACACTCGCATCCTTCGGGATAGTGTACCCACCGAGCTCGGTCTCCTCCGTGGCAGCGTGCGAAAGTATAAAGTGGCTCGGCGGGTGTCGCCGGAAAGTCTCCTTCACCACCGCGCCGAGATAAGGCATTTTGTCCACGTCACTCTCCATAACAACCCCATCCTTCCCCACGCGCTCAACAATCTCCCTATACAACCTCTCCTGAATCTCCTGATCCATCACCAAGTGAAGCAACGCCCACTCCACCGCCGTGGCGCTCGTGTCCGTCCCGGCGCTGATCACCTCCGAAACGAGCGTCACCAGCTCCTCCTCTCCCAACCGTCCTCGACCGGGAACCTCCAACCCAAACAGCGAGTCCACGTAAGCAGCACCGACAGGACTCGCCATGTCAGCACCACCTGACCTCCCGTTGCTGTCCACGTAAGCTTTCCTGCTCCTTATCAATGGCGCCAACAGCTCAACCTGTTTCTCCCTCAGCTTCCTGGCTTCTCTCACTTGTCGTCGGAAAAGCGGCGTCAGAACAGGCAAGAAGTCTGGAAGCTTCGGAAGTGTGATGAGCATGACGTCTTTCAAGATGCTCTCAATGCTTTTGATTCTGTCCTCAGTGATCTTTGCACCGAAACAGAGACATATGAGGATGCTACAAATGGTGAGCCTGCAATTGCTCATGACTTGTACAAAGCCATTCTCATGAGCCTCCTGTTGAATCCTTCTCATGTGAGCTTCCATAGCCCACTTTCTTATCCAACCGCACTGCTTTATTCTCAGAGGAGAGATCATCTCTGAGACGAAGTTCCGTCGCAGGGTGCGCCAGAGAGGGCCGTACTCGGCGGAGTTGATGGCGCATTTGCCCATGCTGAATATGAGTCGTATGGGTGAGTCCTTGGGCCTGCTCGCGAACAATGGGCCTCTCTGGATGAGAGCTTCGTGGATGAGGTCAGCGCTTGTCACGATGATCAAGGTTCGCTGACCCATTTGCATGGTGAAGATTGGACCGTACTTCTTCCGTAAATCGCGGATCACGTAGATGAAGTGACGGCGTTGGAGGATCACTTGGAAGAGGTTTCCGACGACTGGCCATCCCGGTGGCCCCGGTGGTAGGTTCTTAGGCCCTCCGCCGGTGGTTGACCAGTGGCGCCACCACCAACGGAGGAACACCAAGGCCAAACAGAGCATAATAACGTCTATTAGCTCCATTTAGCTAACTAGAGTTGAAGAGTGAAGAAGAGAGTATGGGTACGGCAAAGATTATATAGCACGAGAGATGATATGATACATATTTTAATGATTGAATTGAGTTTGGTCCGCCAAAGTTAATTGTATTCAATATTTCGAACAGACACAATTACTGTTAAGTACGGATTGCTCAGGGTCACGACAGATATTCAACACAGCTGTTATTATTTTGAGGGGCCATTTCCCTTTTTTACTCCTACATCTAATTAATCTTTGTCCAAAACACTCTGATTCTTGAAATTGCAAGAAATCTTTAATTAAAATAATGAGATATATAAAATTATTAATGTAATTTCACGGATTAAATTTTTAAGTTGAATTAGTTCTTTACATGATATCAGGTATAAGTGAGCCTGTGCTCGTCCATCCTTCAAGCCTTGTGGATTCTCGTATGAAAGAACGTGTTGAGATATATAAAATCATTAATATAACCTCATCCAACAACTTACCTTTTAGGTAGTGTTTGGTTGAAGGTTTATTTTAGGATTGATGGGAAAGTGTAGATGGATATTAGAAAATACCACGTTTGGTTCAGGTTTTTTCAAGAAATACCAGGCAAATAGGATAGATGGGAAAATGACTTTTGTGTTGATTTTTGGATGAAATTCACTGTTACAGAATATCATTTGAGATGTGGTATTTTGAGATGACTGGGGAAGTGAAAAAACAGGTGCAAAGTTTCTCTCGAACATAGATTTTGCATATTTAAATAAATTTTCCTGGTAATATTTGGGTCAACCAAACAACTTTTTTTACATTTTCCTATCAAACTCACTTTCCAACCATTTTTCTATCAATTACATTTCCCTAGTAAAAAAAAAATTTTCCCTAACCAAACACTACCTTAGTTAAATTTGTTCTTTACAATAACATTAAACCACAACAGATGAAATAATATGCTTGAATTTTAATTTCCTTTAGAATATTGAACAGAACAGAGCATGTTTAAAGTAATAAATTTATATAAGTGGACGTGTCCCCAGTTGTCCTCTTTAAAGTGAAAATTTCTTTTGATGTGCTGAGTTTTTGGTATATTTTTCACTTATAAGTTAACAGGTATTTTATTTTTTGTCAAATTGTTCTCTTACCTAATATTAAAAAATTATTTATTAATAATTGAATAAAAATAAAACACATATTATATTATAAATAAAAAAATGCATCGAAAATTCATCACATCATTTGCATTGAATAAATTTTCCTTTAAAGTAGAAAACAAGTGGGGAACTTTTCTATGACTTTTTATCTGTGTAATAGTAATGGACAGGTGGGAGTTGATCTATTGGGTGGGACTGCAGAGCAGCAATCAATAAGCCAATAACAAAATTCATGGATTGCCCTTTCACATTACACCGTTGCAATTTTCGTGGGTTTCTCACCATTGCTTTTTTCAGCATGTATTTATGTACTAGATTCCACTTGTAGGGGTAGCTGGACGGTTAGGCTGTGTATTCTATTGTTAAATATTTTCTGTGAGACCGAAATATATGTTGTTGCCCCATTTACAGAAGTTAATTATAAGGCTCCAACTTCTCATCTCCTCCTACAATCAATTAACATTACTATTATTAATAATATATAATTATAATATTAAAATTAGTTTTTTTCTCTCTGTCACGTCAGTCAACAATTTCTAAAAAGAAAAAAAAATTAAAATTATAATTATATACTATCCATAATACATAATATTAATTCGTTGTAGAAAAAAAAACTTCTCCAATAAGAGTTATATTTCCCTAATTATAATTGTTAACCATTATAAAATCGAGCGAACTAAAAAGGGGCATGAGTAGGGGTGTAAATGGGTCAGGCTAGTCCGGTCCGACCTACATTGAGCTCGACCCAGACCCGACCTTTCAGAAAAAATAAAGTAGACTTAGACTTATAAAAAAGTTTTTTTAACAATATGACATAGGCTAATTTTGTCAAGCTCAGCCTACAGCCTTGTAGGCTGGCCTATTTAATTTATTAAAATAAATTAAAATCGATGTTGTGAATGAAGTTTGCTCCTCATAAAATTGGATATTATGAATATTGGTTCGATTCTTGTAGGTAATAATAAATCACACGTAACATTCACTCCTAAACTTTGTACCAAAAACCCAAGAGGAAAAATATAGTAATCGAGGCGAATTATAGAAAAGATTTCATTTCAGCTACATAATCTCCCTCGTAGCTTTCAACTATTTTAATTGTAACAGTTCCTTCACGAATTGATGTTTAACATCCTATGTAATTTCTGCTTTGCCAGTTGCTACACATGACTTCTTTTACGTAGCATTAGCTTCGTTCTGAGAAAAATGCAAAAACCACCAAATTCAACAGTGGGAGGCCTACAATGCCCGTAGGCCATGTCAGGCTTTCTTATTTTTAAAAATGGGTCAGGTTTGGTCTACAAATAAAGTCTTTAATAAGTCAGTAGGCCAGATAGGCTAAATTTTTTTTGATATAAGTTTGGGCCAGGAAAGCTAAAGGTCGGCCCAGCCCAACCCATTTACACCCTTAAGTATGCGGTACCATTAGGTTTTGGTTGCTACAGTTTCTTAATATAAGAGGGTCTTCAACCCCATAATATATTACTAATTAACTAGTTATAACCTCAATAGCTTTTCTCTTTTGTGAATGTAGAGGTTATATTATTATGTATATACGTTTCTTCCATGAGAAATACCCTCTATCAGTGAAAACTTCGGCATGCCAGCAAAGCTTAGAAATACCACATCAACCTCAGTGGTCACCCTCTTCTTTAGTTGGTGCTGCTATTCAGTGGTCACCCTCTCCTTCAGTTTTTTTTCTTTTTTTTCTTTTTTCATATTCTTATTTATGTTGAATAGATTATTTCTATTTAAATTTATACCTATTTCAAGCTGCTGTTCTATATCTAGATGGCTTATTAATTAGCCAGGGTCAATGGTCACTATTGTAAGGTAGGTCCACGGTAGCCTAAAACATCTTTGATGTCGATAATTCAAGTGTGAGAGATAAATTTTTTATATTAAATATGAATGGAGTAAGCAAAGATAGTATAAGTAAAAGAATTCATAAATCTAAGGCTTTAAAGCTTTAGTTTGGTTGATGCCGAAGTCATTAATTGTGGTTGATGTAAAAACTTACCCCATTGATGCATAGCCCATTGATATTAGACCCACGACTTCAGGACACAAATCTATAAGAGTTTCAAACTTTAAGTTGAAAAGCGGTGTCATACCCATATATTGTGATTGGTATAAACTTAGTGCGTGTATAAATTCTTTTGTTAAGTTAGAAATTACTTATTAGGCTAAATAGATTTAAAAAAAAGTTCTTATAATAAAAAGCTCTTTTTTTTATAGAGTAAATATTATTTTTGGTCCTCAACAGATTTTACGATGCTCACTTTAGTTTCTAGCAAATAAAAATGCTCATCGTGGTCCTTAAGAAATTCAAAATGGACCTATTTAGTTGAAATCGTGGTCCCTTACAAATTCAAAAAAGATCCATATTAGTCCTCAAAAAGACTAAAATGGGTTCATTTTGAATTTCTTAGGGACCATGATGGACTTTTTTTTTGCTAAGGACTAAAGTGGGCATCGTGAAATTTGCTGAGTACCAAAAAAAATATTTACTCTTTTTTATAATGAAGAAAAAAATTAAAAATTAAAAGCTCTTACGATGAGCTTTTTTTAAAACTCTTATCTGTTATTCTTGAATTGTGTGCTTTTTTTAAATGAAGAGTGATACGGATAGAGAGAAATAATTTTCTTGAAATATGTGCTTTTAAATAATTTTTAAGCTAAAATTTTTATGTAATTTCTAAACAGCTAATAGCTTTTTTTCAAGCTTTAGCTTATAAAAAATTTCTAACTTAAAAATAAGAGAATCTAAATAGGCTCATGCTATTGATGCATAGCCCATTGGTACAATCAAGTTCAATCATGATTGACTAAGCCAAAATGTTAGAAATTTGAAATATGGGTATAAAAGTTTCATATCACGTAGGAATGAACTAAGTAAAAAATATATTAGTGATACCATGAATATTTGAAGAACATATAAATGAAATCACTCATTAATTTAACATGGTAACTGGTAAGATTTGGGTTATTTATTGTGATTGATGAAACTTAACCCATACATTCATTACCACCTAACAACTATGCATGTCATTTTATAAGAATTTGCTATGACATTCCCCCTCCTTTTTTTCCCTTAGCCAAATTGGAGGCCTTTAACAACTATAGCGAAAGAATTAGTACGATTTGCACTCTCTTGTCTTTACTTATATTGATCTCATAAGGAAAAATTACAAAATATATATATATATATATATATATATATATATATATATATATGAGGTAGGATCCTGTGACACCAGTGTCAACTTTCAAATTTGACACTTCATCTGAGAGCCGTTAGATAAAAAAAGATCAATGGTGTCACATGCTTACAAATCAGAGTTGTTGATCTTTTTTATTCTAACGGCTTTCAGATGAGGTGACAAATTTGAAAGTTGACACTGGTGTCAAAGGATCCCACCTCTCTATATATATAGGGTTTGGTATTTCTCATTTTAAATGACATAAGTTATGTCATTTTAGAAGAGAGATAGACACAGAAAATGAAAATCATGGGAGAAAGAAAATGAGTGCTTTTTTTTAATTTAAATTTTAAATAAAAAAGTTATTTTGTGTCTATCTCTCTCTTAAAATGACATAACTTTATGTCATTTAAAATGACATAACTTTATGTCATTTAAAATGACAAACACTTTTTCCATATATATATATATATATATATATATATATATATATATATATATATATATGAGAGAGATCATTTGACTCCAGAGCAACACTTATAAGTCTTACTCCCCATCTTAGCCGTTGATTTCCGTCCATCCAACGGTTATAGTTTAGGAAGTTATATTAATTATTAATTACACTATAAATGACAACCGTTGATTTCCGTCCATCAACGGCTGA